TATGTATTGAAGTAATTATTAATTAAAAATAAATAAATGATTTGTTTATATCAGCTTCACATAATCCTTATGTAAAAGAATTTATTTATGTTAATTGTCACAATTAAAATAGATATGGTTTCTGTGTATCCCAAATTCTGTTGACCCATACTCAAAATAGCTTTTATGTTAAAAATTATTAGATGTCAAAGATAGGATGTGAAAAAAAATAAAAAACTATTTGTTGCTTATTCATAAAAACCTATAAAGTGAACATAAAGTTATATATATATATAGGGATAAGTGTATATGAAAAGTAATAATGTAAATGATAATCATAATGGTTCTAATGAATATGAAAAAGCAATTCGCAGAATTAAGAGAATCCTTTCAAGTTCAGAACAAGACATATTTTTAATGGCTCAACTTAAGGCAATGGATGATGGATTAACAAGTAATAGTAGACGCCTTAAAAAGAAAACTAATTCTAACAAAAGAACTTTCTATCACTGGAATCACAATACACTCCTTTGTCAAGAAGCTTATTTTAATATGTTAGGGATTAGTAGAACTTATTTTGAAAATATCAGAAATCATCTGATAAACAATGGTCTCCTGTCAAGAATCCATGGTAATATTAAAAGGATGACTCAACAATGGAAAACTAAAATGGTGATTGACAAAAATGTTGCTGAAATTGTAAAGTATTTTCTGGGCAAATCTATCAATAACAACAACAATCATAATAATAAAAGATATTAATACTAATCTTCTAAAATAATAAAAGGAATGTATCAACCCAATAAATAGATAATACATACAATATTTGTCCAACATAACATTTATAACATTCTCAATAGAAGCATTAGTTTGTGGATAAGGCAAATACCAAAAGGCACCCCCTTTATCAAGTATGTAATCACCTTTAGGGTGATTTTTTGTGATTTTCAATGGCAATATCCTATTCAATAATTCCTTATATCCTTGTAAAACATGATTAATTTCTATTGTAAAACATGTTGCTTTTTTGTTGCTGTTTAGAACAATATCTGATAAACAAATTATATGAAGTTTCCATAATTCATTTTGAAATTTGTATGAATCTGTTTGTGATGAAGATGGTGATAATGGTGCTGCAAAAGTTTATACACTTAATTTATCAGATT